GGGCGTGGAGTTTCTGTATGGCTGGCCTGGCTTCTGTACACTAGCTGCTGGTGAAATGTGCAGGTCCCGTTGCTTGTTTGCTTGATTCCACTGAGACCTTAGATGATAGCTCTGGAAAGACAGGGATTATGGCTTGTTAACTGTTGTATCTCCAGAGTCAAGCACACAGCCAGTCACAGGGTAAATGTTTACTGAAGAAGGCCATGGATGCATGGATAGATGGATGGAAACCCACCTGCAGCCTGGGACATTTATGTCCGCTCCAGGGTCTTGTGTTCATGCACCATCCTTTTTCACATTTACTTAGCTGCCCCAGGATAGCCACATTTATTTTATTCTTTCCATCTGGAGGGGCTTGCACTGCATTTTTTCCTGAGTGATCCAACCAAGATTCCCTTGAGTCCCCTTAGGCTTTTTTGTTCTGGCAGTGGCCTCTGCAAGCATTACCTAAGGCCAACCACGTACCTACTAGAGGAGAAAGCCATGTGAATGCCTTCTTCTCGTGGGAAAGTGTTTAAATGTTATAATAAGTAATGTTTAAGTTGGGCCTTTAAGTGACATTTTCCAGAAGGGGAGTGGTAATTACATTCCAAGCAAAAGAAAGAACTTGAACAAAGTTATGGGAACTTGAAAGAGCCAGGGTATCAGAGGGCAACCTAGCAGTTCTGGGTGACTGGGGCAAAAGTCATGGGAGAAGGGCTGAAGCTGAGTCTGCAGAGGCATGTGGGGACTGTAATTATATCTCTGGGCATTCTTCTGGGCCCACAGAGCCTTTGGAAGACGACTGGGGCAAAAGTGAGGATGGCTCCGTAGCTGTTTCTCACCAACAAGCCCTCTCTCTCCAGGCAGGAAGAATCTACCAAGTACTTCAACTTTTCAACTTCTGGTGAGAAGAGCAAGAAAGAAGCTGAGCATCGTTATCGTGTGAGAAGCCAGGGAGCGTCCATATATCTTCCCTCCCATGGTGCTGCTAATGTTTGGAGCTTGTGGAAAAGAGACAGGCAGTGTACCTGAGGGCTAGATCCAGGAAAGGAGTAGGATTGGGGATGCTCTAGGACCACAATAACGTTGTGTCTCAATTTTCTGCAGGTGAATAACCTGAGTCAGCGAGATCTGGCCATCAGCATTCATTTCTGGGTTCCTATCCTGCTGAATGGTGTGGCTGTGTGGGATGTGGCTGTTGTGGCCCCTTCACAGGTGCCTGCTTGCCTTTCCTAATGCTCCGGAGTCTGACCCCACAGTGCCCCACACCGTCTTACTAGTGAAATGTTGGTCATTTTGTGGCTATTTTCTCTCTCTCACTAGAGTCTCCCCTGTGTGTCAGAGAGGGAACCTCCCCAGCATCCTGAATTCCTGACCCAGATTCCAGGGAGTGTTGTACTGGTGAGAAAGACCCTGGATTCGCATTGCAGGACCAGCTGCATATTGGGGTATATGGGAAATGCACTTGCTGGGTTGCAGATGTATACATATGTCCTATAATTGTTCATCTGTTCTCGACCCCAAGCCTGACAGAGTTTATTTTCTGCTGTCGTTCTTGCCTAAATTAAGACCCTCCTCAACTTCATTCCTCTCCTGTCCCTAGAACTGCTCCATTGCTGATTGCCTGAGGTTCCGCTGTGACCTGCCCTCCTTTGGCATCCAGGAGGAAGTTGAATTCATCCTGAAGGGCAACCTCAGCTTTGACTGGGTCAGCCAGGTGTGTAGGTCCAACAGGAGAGCCCCCCCTTCCCCCCAGGATTCAGGTGCCACCAGATGACGTCTGTGTCCATCCTCCAGCCAGGACATTTCTTGAACTCTGTGCCTTTCCCAGTGCTAGTTCCTCATCTGTGCCCCCTCTGTTTTGTAGACATTGCAGAAGAAGGTATTGATTGTAAGTGTGGCTGAAATCACGTTCAACAGGTCCATGTATTCCCAGCTTCCAGGACAAGAGGCATTCTTGAGTGCTCAGGTAGTGACTGTGTGGTAGGCAGTGGCCAGGCTGGTAAGAGGGCTCCTAATGCAAAATCTGTGGTGCCTTGTGGGAGACTCACAAGCCTGAGGGAGGAAGGATGAAGGTCTCTCAGCAGGAGGGTTGTCCCTACGCCCATGAGTTTTTCTGTATGTCACCCCTTGGAGTAAAGGAAGGAGGAGAGAGAGCTAAAGGTTGGGAAACCTGGAAAGAGTCTGGGACAGCAAAAAGTCTGATGCTTTCTAATTCCCAAATTAGATGGAGATCATGCTAGATAAGCATGAGGTGTATGATCCCATTCCCCTCGTTGTGGGCAGCTCTTTGGGAGGACTGCTGCTGCTGGCTCTCATCACAGCCATCCTCTACAAGGTGAGTGTTTTAATCCCACTCTCAACACCAGCAGCATACAACCCAAGCCCTCTCAGAGACAGGATGGTATAGTGGAAAGAACTCAGACAATGGAGTCAGGCCAGCCTGTGTGTGCATTTTGGCTCTGCCTTGCTCACTCTTTAATGTCAAGCAATTTGCTCTACTTCTCTGAACTTGTTTTCTCATTTTTGAAATGATAATCATGCCTATATCTACAAAGTAGCTGAAGTGAGACAGAAACGAGGACAGGGTATGTGTGTAGGCCTGCCTATGAATCTATGCTGTTTTACTATAGCTTATATGCATAACCATTGTGCTTGGCACACAGTAGATAATACACAATAGCTGTTGTTCACATAAGTGTTCTGGCACAGAAATGCAAGCCAACTTCTCTTCTCTTTCAGCCTCTTCCTACTCCCAACTTTCTTCCTTGCCCTCTTACCCAGCTTTTCTGATTTACTTCCCCTCACAGCTTGGCTTCTTCAAACGTCAGTACAAAGAAATGCTGGATAACAAACCTGAAGACACTGCCACATTCAGTGGGGAAGATGTCCACTGTGAGGCCTCAAATTTGCCTTTGTCCTAATAATTCACTTTTCTGTTTGTATCTACCCCTATTGGCTGGGCTTGACTTTGCCTACAAATCTATTTCCATGGGAATAACTTCTGTATAGATATGGACTGGACTGAGCAACTTACCAGGTGCTAAGCCACTTTCTCAAGGTATTTGAAAGGTTTTTATATTTTAACATATTTGTCAGAGTTCTTCAGTGATGACTCACTTTTTACAAAAGCAAGCATTATGCCAGCATAAATTTTCATATATAAGAATTGCCATATTAAATAAAGATGTTTATAAAACATTCTTCTTTAATCAAAGAGCTTTAATTTAGGGACCAGAGTACTATTCTAGGAAGAGTTGAGGGACCCTGCTTGTGGGCCTAGAAAACATTCACTCACTTTTTCAGGTGATTGAGGCCTGAGATAATCTTTTTTTTAATGGCACTATATATGTAGCATCAGGGGAGTAGTCAAAGGAAGAACTCAATGTGTCTGTTTCTCATGGGTTTCAGCACAGGCTTCAGGCTCTTTGGTAATGTGAAGTGAGCAGACTGTCCTAAGAGGTGAGTGAAATGCCCTGAACTTGTTTGAACCGATCTCTCCCTTGAATGAGATCCCCAGAGGCTAGGAGAGCCAGGCTTCCAGAAAGGAGCATATGATTTCCCAAACTAATACAGAAGACTCATTAAGGGTGGTCATAGAGAATAGCTAAAATATTCCAAATCCAAAACTAGGTCATGAAGACTCACAGATAGGGCTGTAGTTCCTCTGTTTGAAATCAGGGTTGTTTCCAAAAACCAGAATTCACAAAAGCTGTGAATAAATGTCAAGAGACAAGTGGTACTTCAGAGTCTGCAGCCCTGAGTTTCCAGGGACCTCTGAGGAGGGCCCTTATTTAAGTCATTTAATATCTGAGAATCTCATTTCCTCGTCTGGAGAAGGGGAACCAAAATTATATCTTGTTCCCAGAGTTACTGTGAGGTTAGTGTTATGTGAAAGACCTTTACAGGCTATAGCCCTAATTATCAATAGGTGAGAGAAAGGGAGGATGGAGATCTCCTACCTAGTCATCAAGGATGTTCCCTGGAGCACCTCCCAAATCATGGCCTTGGGAAGAGCATGTAGACCACAGACTGCATTGTGCGCATGCACCCAGTGGAACTCCTTGGAGGCCCCTCCAGCCCCTATCCTGGTCCCCAAAGAGTCTGCGGACACACAGTTTTCACACCTTTATTGGGGCTGGGGGCATCCACTGGGGCCTCAGGGCCATTCACTGTTCATAGCCGGTGGGCAGAGGGTTGACACGGGGGTTGTGGAAAAGAGTATGGTTGCCGTCTCCCCAGGAGTAGGGCTGTGAATAGAGGGAGAGCAGATTGTCAGCGAGGTCCCGGCCAGGGGGTCCCCCAGCACCCCTTGCCCGTCTGAACCATGCTCCCGCTCTGGGGGCCAAAGCTTCAAGCCAGCATACCTTGGTGCGGATACGGAGGTGGTGGTATGGGATGAACTTGGGGCGTTCACGATGGCCCGCGTGGAGCCAGGAGTTAAGGGTGCAGAGGGCCACACTCGGGAGCGCCAGCACGAAGGTCAGGAGGCGCCAAGTGCTGGCTACAGCAGGGTGGGGGGAAGGCAGAGATGAGAGAGAGGTGGGGAAGGGAGGGCGTCTGAAGGTTAGAGTTAAAGGGTGGGTGGGGGGGAGGCGGAGTGGGGGTCGGTCCTCAGAACCGCGGAAGGCCAGACAGGTGGGAGAGGGGTACAGGTATGTAAGCCACAGGGTCAGGCAGCAGCCCCACTCACCTCCTGCCCCTCCATGGTCTCCCTTTGCTGTGCTTGCCAAGCCCCGACTCAGGGACCTCAGAGGCAGAGCCATTGTGGTGAGAGAAGCTGGAAACAGTGAACTGCCCTTTCACTCTCCTTCACCACGCCTAAATTCCACTCCCTTCTTTTTGGGCCAATCACCTGTTGAGTCTGTAACATGGGTGGCTATTTTTAGGGGGTTTCTATATTTAAAATGAGGCCTTTACTGGCCTGAGGTCCTTCTCTCTAGACATCTGCCATTTGGTGCTTCTTATTTTGATAAGGGGACATTTAAAAACAATATGCCGTTCTTTTTACAGTTGCAGGGAACTATTTCCTTCAATATTCTATTCCCAGTGGGTGTCACACAGCAGGTTTTTAGTATTGTAGATTGAATAAAGTGACCTTTTGAATCTCAGTTTTTTAATCTGTAAAATGTATAAGAATTCATACCTTAAATGAAGTTTATGAAGTTTAATCAAAGTAACATAGGAATATGCCAGCATAGAGTCGAGCACATAACAGTAGCTCAGTATATGCATTAGTCACAATATTTTACAAAGAATAGAACTCACTCTAACTGGTTTTTAAAAGATAAGCAATTGAGAATCTTAGGTAGCTCACAGTACCTCTGGTATGGCCAGAAAGGCCAACAATCTGTGCAGCCAAAAATAAACCATTCTGGGAGTACTGATGCATAGGGGCACTTGTACCCCAATGTTCATAGCAGCACTCTCAACAATAGCCAAATTATGGAAAGAGCCTAAATGTCCATCAACTGATGAATGGATAAAGAAATTGTGGTTTATATACACAATGGAGTACTACGTGGCAATGAGAAAAAATGAAATATGGCCTTTTGTAGCAACGTGGATGGAACTGGAGAGTGTGATGCTAAGTGAAATAAGCCATACAGAGAAAGACAGATACCATATGGTTTCACTCTTATGTGGATCCTGAGAAACTTAAGAGAAACCCATGGGGGAGGGGAACAAAAAAAAAA